GCATGCAGGTGTTGATTGAATGCTAACTAGCTATAAATACGTCTCATTTTGCATACATTTATGAATTGTTTGAGTAAAATGATATAAAAAATGTCAAGTGATGAGGGTATGAGTGACAGTGGTAGTGAATATGTACCAGATGAAAGTGATATGGAGTTTGATAGCAGTGATTATTCAGATTGCAGTGACAATTTTCAATTTCAAGACTTGCCTCAACCGAATTAAATGGCTAGAGGATGGAAACGTGTTCCTAACGTGTTTGATGATGCTAGGCTGGAGAATGGAAACATGTTCCTAATGTGTTTGATGATGCTAGGCTGGAGAATGGAAACGTGTTCCTAATGTGTTTGATGATGCTAGGCTGGAGAATGGAAATGTGTTCCTAATGTGTTTGATGATGCTAGGCCTCAACTGGAGCCGCCATTAGTGCGTAATTTCAGTGGGATCAACCCCACAGCTGGCTTTTCAGATAACATGAGTGTTTTAGAGTGTGTGAAAAGGTTTATTACGAATGAAGTTATAAACCATATTGCTTTTTGCATAAATGATAAAGCAAAGGCTTTTTTTGATGCTAATCCACGAACTAATAGAATATGTAAATAGTATCTGGTGGAACAATGTCACTGAAAATGATATTATTTACGTTTCTTGCTCTTTATTTTTGTACTGGAATATTTAAGTATAGCAATATGAACCAGTATTGGACAAGAATGCCCTATAAACCAGGCATTCGTTTCTTTGGGATGCCATAATGAGTAGAGACAGGTACATGTCGATTATGAAATTTTACACTTTACCAAAGTAAATGATATAAAAAAATGTACCTTCTATACACTTGTATGCTTTTTGTGAGCTTTTGAGAAAAATTTCGAGGACAAATGTGGATGCAGGAGAACATATTTCAATTAATGAGGCATTAGTTTTATGGAAAGGACGGCTAGGCTTTTGCCAATTCATAAAACAAAACTCGCAAGATTTGGCATCAAATTAATTGTCATGTGCAACAGTGAAAAGAATTGGTGTTGATATAACTATAACTTCAGGGTGTACTATGGGAAATACTCCAACAACCAATATTCTTTGTCTGATGTTGAAGGAGTAAATGAACTTGCATCCAGTGAAAAAAATTGTTCTCTATTTATTAGAATTTGTTCTAGGACAGGGGTGTCATGTAATTATGGACAACTGGTATGCAAGTACTCAATTGGCACATTTTTTTGGAGACTCAAAATATAACA